TCATTTTCATGTCTTGATTACATTTCCAAAAGGAAATACCATTTCTGACTATGTTTATTTCAGCCCTAATTTCATCTTGCATTCTTCTATTTTCGACCACATTAATCATCACCTCCAAAATCGTATTTAGCACAAATACAAGAAAGTTATATTTATTTTATGGTCAGGTGAAGTTACCCCCAAGTCAAAGTATCTCTCAAATACTTCTTTATGTATAAGAATAGAGTAACAAGTAACAAAAATAGAATCGATTGTTTCAGAATCTCGTTTCGGGAAAAAAAGTCCCATTTTCAGGCTGTACATTTTTCCATTTTCCGATTTAGCAAGTGATTTGTATTGAGAACCCTTTTGGATTTTTTCATACTGATCAGAAAAACCCTAAATATTGAAATCAATATGAACATGACGTGTTTCTACTGAAACAGACACCAGAATTTTACTGAGAAAAAAATTATTCTAAATAAAATACAATGAAAGTCGTAATGTTGTAAAATCTATATTTTTCAACTGTGCTTGAATGTCCAAAATGGTGTGCAACATTACTTTTTTTAAACTGTATTTTGCAGTTGTAACAAAATACGTTAACTTCATCAAGTAAAGGTTTCCTCAATTTTTTTGGGCTAGTTAGAGAATTTTTTCCCGAACAATTTGAACATTGTTGCAGGCAGATATTTTTTTATCTTGCGAAGGTCGTTCATCTTTTTAATGTTGACTGATAATCTTAGTACGTTGGTTCATAGTTGTTGAATCTGATTTGGTTAGGAGGAATTTTAAATAATAGATATTAATAACTTTAATATAATTAAATTTATCCATTAAATAGTCATTTTCTTTCTTAATTTTGTATTAATCTCATAAAACGAAGTATGAACCTCTACCGACAGCCACCTTATTACCCTGTGTCGTTTTTTCATTCACTTGGATGGTGTAGGTTTCTTTTTACGGAACGATAAAACAATATTTCCAATTTTCATTTTCGTTTATATTCCAACATTGTTTATTCATACGTGGTGAAATTGTCTCTGTTTGACATAGAAACGCTGGCGCATGCAACAACCTCCGTCATCCTTGAAAATATAAGTTTTATATTTGCAAATATAAAACCTTTTAAATTAGGAACTAAAGTTTCACTGTTCTGGATAAAGGAAAATTTAAATTGTTATAGCTTTAATTTGTTTGCTCGGTTCTTTTTAACCTATCAGGACACAACAAAAGACCAACTGATTAATCTACACTCTTATTACATGGGATTTCTCTTATAAAAGATTAATATGATATTTATGCAAGCTCTGCGTCCAAAATTAGGAAGCTAATGTAACGTAACTTGAGTTAAATAGTTAGACCGGGGGCTAATTGGTTCAACTTTGGACGGCTAAACTTGGCCCTGTGTAGCCATACAAGTTTGTTTCAGGTTGCCTACTTACTTTCATAGATGCTCCTAACGAGAACCACAGACGGGAAAACAACACTAGCATAAAACTTAATTTCACAATTTATGAAATCGTAGCTGGTGTTTAAAAAAATGATAAATACACGTTTTTGCATTATTGATCATCAAATTCCCTACCTTCATGCAGTTAAATTCCTAATGCCAGATATCTTCCTTCCTGTTCTTCAAGTGTCTAATATTCCCTCCTCTCGTGTTCAGCATTTATATCATTGATCTCCCCGACTCCATTCAGCATTGCGATTACCACCTCTATGCCGAAGATTCCCAAAGTCCTTCCAACCCTCCGATCTGCATTTGGCTATCAGCAGAATTCAGGAAGAACTGAATAAATAAATAGGCACATAAAACAACCCAGAATTAAATCCTAGGAAGTCCAATGCTATTGCTATAGGATCCGTCCCCCTCAAATCCCTCCTTTCACCATCAATAACGAGCGCATTTCCTTCGGCTCCAGTGTTAACAACTTCGGTGTGACCTTCGACAGGAACCTTTCCTGGAAACCACACATTTCCCAAATTTCCCGACGCTGTATTGGAACCCTCATTCAATTCCGCCGGTCCTGGCCCCTTCTACCTTTCACCACTCGTAAACTCCTTGTCTACTCTATCATCCCTCTCCAAGTACAGCAGTGTCACCCATGGTGCACTTTCGAAGAAACAAGATAAGCGTCTGAAAAGATAAATTATTGTTGCATATTTATTTTGGCCCACCAAACGTCCAGTCTCACACCTGTATTCAGATATATCCTGGCTTTATATATCCTTCCTTAGGAAGCATTACCTAGACTCCTTCCTTTACTAATCCATAACCTCTCGTTGAACTCATTATATTTTCCAGGTGCTTCAATTCAAATCTTCTATCCAATCTCTTAACACCCGCTCGTTTCCAAATGGCCTATCTTTTATCTTATTTTCCTGGTCATAAAGCCACCACATTTGAGCGGTCTTTCCTAGCTCGAGCCACAAATCTCTAGAATTTTCTTCCTTCGCCAATCCGCAAAGCTGCCTCCTTTACCACTTTTAAATCCCTCTTGTACCAGGATCTCATCTCCCTCCAAACAGAGACAACATAGACCAACAATATTATTAGGCCGTTTTTCCACATAAGAAAGCATTTTTCCTTCCTTTTCACAATTTTAAGGTTAACATTTTATGACTGTTCGTACAAATCAGAAATTCTTTTATTACTATTTTTTAATTATTATTATTGCTACTCCTAATTGTATTTATTTATATTTTGCGTTATGTGATTAATTTAAATTTATTTTACTATATGTTAACGTCAAACCTTCAGTAATTCAAGTGCCAGAGTTGTAAAAATTCCTGTAACCTCATTGTTTTTCCTCGTCCCAGAATAAAATATTTTCTCTCTCTCCCCCCTTTATCAAATAATTCTTGTATCAATAAGTCAGGATTGGGTCCCGAACAATTAATTAATAATTATAAAAATGTGTGATATTTAGTGACCGTTAATTAATGATGATTTGGAGATCTTGAGATGCGGTCTGGTTCAGAAAAACATTTTCTTTGCCGTGCCAAAGTTTCGATCTTTATTGAGATCATCTTCAGGGCTTAAAGTGTTTGTTTTCTGTGTAGATGTACCATTGCTGTGTGTCGGGCACTCTCAACACGACACACTACCGTGACACATCTACCCAGAAAACACACAACTTGGAAAAAAAGGATCTCCGGTGAGGTCACAACAGAACGACAATTCTTTAAGTTTTTGCCGAGCGTTCGACGATTAATCGTCATCATCAGGGCCTATTTATTATAGGAAAATATAACAGATATAATCGTCGAAAGCTCGGCAAATACTTAAAGAATTGTCGTTCTGTTGTGACCTCACCGGAGATCCCTTTTTTCCAAGTTGTTCAACTGCAGATCGAGCCATCATCTCATGTTTAAGAAAACACACACTTTGAGCCCTGAAGATGATCTCAATAAAGATCGAAACGTTGGCACGATAAAGAAAATGTATTTCTGAACCTAAATCACACCAGACCGCATCTCTCGATCTCCAAATATTCAATAATAAAAATGTTAATACACACACGAAAACAATAAATATGGGAAAATTGAAAAATGGCAAAAAGGAGGGAAAATTCAAAAGGTGCGGTTGAGATGGGAAGTTGGTGTCCGAGTGGATCGAGGTCACGATAGCTCAAGTGGTAGAGCAGCGGCGTATCAAGCCGAAGATCGTGGGTTCGAATCCCGCTCGTGCCATTGACTTTTTTATCTCAACTAAAAACCTTAATTAATTATCATATATTAATTGGTCAAACGGACCACGAAATTAGTGAATTTAATAAATATATTTTTTATTTTGGGAAGATTTTATTTCTTTTTATTCAAATATTCAAACCTTCCTTTAAGCTTTATTGCGCGATGATCCTAATTCTTGAATATCGTTTATTAATTCAAATGCTGGAGTACTCGATATTCCTTTATATTTCCCAATGAGGGTCGATGTGGTATTTAATATTCCACCATCGGCCCTCTTAGACAACCTGTTCGCGCTTATAAATACGTTCAGCCTCGCCTAACATTTGTGGCGACTAGAGTCGATCTAGATGGCATGCCGATCCAGACGCACTCAATTTAGACGGCATGCCGATGTTTTGACGTCTACTTCTGTATGATACAGTTTTGGCCGCTGTTGTTTGAGGTAATCTATAGTATGATCATTTTTTTTTCAACCCGTGTCATCTTTGTTCGATGCAAGTTCAACGACATGTCTAATGAGCATGTAGGTCTACACAAGTCGATCTTGATGGCATGTAAATATAGATATTACTCGCTGTGTCTATTATGCTTTCAGTAATGTTTTGTCCAGTGTTGTTTGAATGTACGTTTTGTCTTTTGGCCGTTTTTCATCCTACCGCAGCTTTCAAAAAGAAAATCTCACACTCGGATATTTTTGAGAAAGAATTTTTAATTAACTTACAGCTTAATGGAGTAAATACCATAACTGAGCTTTATTGGATGGAGCAATGAAGGAAGGTTCGCCGTTTGAGTTGCTAAATAACTGAAATTACTCTGATATGAATAAAGACTGAAATCAAACAGATAAAGAGAGAAAGAGAAAGAGAGAAAGGGAGAGAGAGAGAGAGAGAGAGAGAGAGAGAATTGAAAAATAAATCCATGAAACTAGAATTTGATGGATTTATTGCCTGGTGGGGAAGTGGGTGAAACCAGATGTTTCCCCGAAGTCATAACTCCTTGGTAACCGAGGGTTAATTGTTGTTTTCAATTGAGTTTCAACGAGCCCTCCGTGAATTAGAAATCACTAAAGTCGCACAAGGGGGATATACTTTCCTCTCCTAGACGTTCACCGTTAATCTGTTCTCCATTATTCAAATTGTTTGACATCATATTATTTCAATCGATCGAGTTTTGTTGTAATTTATGAATATGAACCACAGAAGTGAATTTCACACACAAAAGATCGAGTTATTAGAATTGATAGGCACTATTTTAAAATATAAAACCTTTTTTTCTTTAAAGAAATTTTTAAAGGAAAACTAATTATTCTTTTTTTTTCTTTGCAGTAGAAAGCAGCGAAGAAGGGAAAGGATCTTCAAGTGATTCTAGCAAACTCACTGTAAAAAAGCCACGTCCTAAAGCTTCTTCTCCAAACAGACAAGGACCTCAGAAATGTCCAGTATGTATTTTTATTGTTATCAATTTCTGTTTCAGTAATCCATTAATTTATCTGCTATATAGAACATTTAGATTTTAAATAATAAAATGTAAATTTTGGACTGTATTTGGAGAATAATTAATTAGTCAATGATTTTTGTCTGAAAACAAAATACTTATTTATAAATAATTTATAAAAATTTTTACAAAATTAGTTAATATTTTGTTCATTGAGAGGGAGGTAGAAAGAGAGAGAGAGAGAGACGTGTCAACTTAGCCCATAGTGCAAACATTTTTACCTAAACCCCAAAGAAAGTCAATTTTTTTAACAATCTTGCTGCCTGTCCCGTTTAATTGTATGCGTTTCTACAGGGCACTAACTTCAAATAGCAAGTAACAAAGAAAAACAATTTATTTTGATTATGACGTGGAATTACAATAAGCAACATTAACACAATACTAAATATAAGAAGTTAAAAAAACGTAAATGATACTATTATAAAGTTTGCTTAATAGATTCTCCGCAATGAATCAAGTGCCAAGACAGAGGAAGAAAAAGCTTCACTCTTCGCCCAACCCCTTTCCAAAATATTCCGCCCCATCCTGACATAATGGATGATGATCATAAGAAAACTATAGAGAAAGAACTAGTCCAACCTCTTTTTCTTTCCTCCAAAAGTTTTTCATTCTTCAAAGGTCCAGAATATCATCAAAAACCTTCCGACAATGAAAGTTCATGGCTCTGAAATACATCCTCTACCTCTTTTCCTTTTTTCTCAAAAGCTTTTCATCCTTCAAAAGAGCTCCGGAAACAACCTTGCAACCTCTAAAATTCTCCCACTCCGACGTACAAAAAAAGCCAACCGACTTCTTAGCATATCTTAAAAAATCGGTTCTAGGGACCACTCACTTCCCCTAAAGATGATCCCAAAACCCCATAAACCTAACCACTCACCTCAATCCTTTCACTCGATATGATCTATAATAGAAAAAATCCTCGAGATGCGTTTTTTGAAAAAAAAATCCATCCCATCCTAAAAGGACAAAACATCCCATTTCACATGTTCGGCTTCCGTGAACACCACTCCAATATCCAACAATGCCACTGATCATCCCCTGATTTGCACTGGAAGAGCTTCCCTTCAGTTACTTCTTCATACTCCGTACTTCTTGGTACTTCTTGACAGCTGCTTTCAAACTGGAATCCCGCAGGGTCATGCACACTTTTGAATATGATACTGCTCACCTGCTATCTTACAATAAAGATCCTCATCTCACATCAAACCCTACCCTCCAACGTGAATTCATGCCCCGAGTATACCTAGACCACATACACCATCCTAGGTTATCAGGATATCACAAATTAATTTTAGCAAAAAGAAAAACCGTCCCTCAATCTCTGTTTTAAAAAGGATTATCTTCTCAGTAGGGGTTGTGTAGGAATTTCTTCAAATAGACTTTTGTGGAGAACTCGAGGAAAAATACCATGTCCTCAGAGACAGGCTGGACACTACTAAGAGAATTGAGCGATAAAAACGCTTAAAGGGTATCAATCCAGTTATTTTTGATTAAATGCTTTTCGTGCTTGGTGTATTTGGGATTGAAAGAGAGTGGAAGATCAAATGTTTAGCTTGTTCACACCATTTAACCTAATATGCTAACAGGCGGGCACATTCGATCTTATTGAAAAGTTCCAGGTAAAGTTTGAATTGAAACAAGCATATGAAATAAAGTACAATGAGAAACGTAAACACTTGCATTCATCATAGATTGAACAATAAATCCAATCTGCTATTTGACTCTATACCAGCAATATTGAACAAAGACTCAGACCGAGAAAAACGTTATAATGTATTAATAAAAAATTTAAAGGAATAATAATTCTAACAATAAATATAAAAAAACGGTATCATGATGAACTTGTAACAAACAGATGGAAGGACACGGAAGTCGGGTGGTTAGGGCGTTAGACTTTAGTAAGTAGACACCTCGGTCGTGGGTTCAATTCCCACCGTCACCCTTGGAATTACTCACCCTTCACCCATCCAACAAAACAATTTTTTTCATTAACGAGGCGTGGCTAATATGGGAAACTAGAATAATACAACTAGAGTAATACACATGTATACAGACTGAACTCACTTGCATTATTCTAAACAAACTAGACTCTCAACACGCATCTACACGGAAAACAAACTCTTTGAGCCCTGAAGATGATCTCAATAAAGATCGAAACGTTGGCACGATAAAGAAAATGTTTTTCTAAAACCTACGTGACACCAGACCGCATCTCACCATCTCCAAATAATCATTATTCTAAACTTTTACTAGGTTTCGTGGTCCGCTTGACCAAATAAATTCTTTTCAATTAAGGTTTTGGTTGAGATAAAAAAGTGAGTGTCACAAACGGGATTCGAACCCACGACCTTCGGTTAAATACGCCGCTGCTCTACCACTTGAGCTATCGTGACTTCGATCCACTCGGACACTATGGGAGTTGTTCCACTCGGAGATGGGAAGTTAGTGTCCGAGTGGATCGAAGTCAGCGGCGTATTGAGCGGAAGGTCGTGGGTTCGAATCCCGCTTGTGACACTCACGTTTTTATCTCAACCAAAACCTTAATTAATTGCAAATGATTCTAAACTTTTGTTTATTGTATATATAATGCAAGTAGCAAATAGTTTCATTTACATTATTTAAAAATATTTGATTCCAGACTTTGCAAACTTTTGTCATCTAAACAATAAATGCAATGAACGCCATAATTTTTTTAAAATTTTAAAATATAAAAATAGGGTAAAAAATGTAAATAGTAATACATAAATTAAATAATTCTAGCAATCTTCTCCCTTATGCAAGTCCAATGTGAGCTTCAGAACAGTAATTACCCAGTTCAATTCCAAGCAAATCGAGGAGCTACAATGCATATTACCATGTAAAAGCTAAATTAATTAAATATAAATANTATAAAAGCCATCGAAGGCCACGATTCTATTGAAAAGTCTTTCCGGAGCAAATTTAGATTTTGACACTTTCTGCCCCCGAAATAAAAATCACGCTTTGACGCATGAAAGTGCGCATTTCTCTGAACGATAACAACTATTGATGATAAATAATTTTTTGACTTATAAAGAAGATGAATTGGAATATTTATAGTTAACAATAATCTACAGTTTACAAAAAAATTCAAATTCAAATTCTTGCCAAATTAGACAACTACTGACTTTCGAAAAATTTTGTCTGCCGTAACTGTTTGTTTCGCAACCAGGCATATACAATTTTATTCAAATCGGTTGAACGATTTTTAAGAAAATTTCACAAGGAGAGTTTTTTGGTGTTTAGTCTGCCTTTAACTTTTTTTGACGTTTCCTTCCTATTACAACCACAAAGTCGTTTCATCCTTAGCAAATTTTAGACAGATCAAACTTGCGTTCAACTTTAAAAATAATACAAAACCCTGTATAACTTTCAAAAAGCAATCTAGCAATAAATAAGAACAAGAATCAATAAAGACTATTTATGAAAGATTTGTCCCAGGTGTCCTTAACGTTAAATACACTTTTCCCCTTGGCAGTTTTGATTTTTAAACTTTAGATGAAAATTGGCCTTTAAGGAAGATGGGAAATAAAGGAAGGGTGGTGAAGTTTAATGACAGATAGGGAGGGATTCCCTCTTACTTTAGTCACCCGGCTTGGATCCTCTATGATGAAAACTTTTAAATAAGCAACCCAGGGTGTAGATACTTTATATTATACAATAACAAGCGGAAAATAAAGTATTAAGTTTTTATTATTAATCTTAATTCGTTAATTATATTCGCCGAACATTAAGGGTTTTCATCGTAACGAATATTTCTTCTCCAGTTTCCAAGGAAAAAATGCCAACAAAGAAACCGTACGTGGGACGGTCGATTCTTCAACTCTGCGCTGCTTAATTTGGACCCGGGACTTTGTTAATTTGTACCATTTCCACGGGACTTTATCACCCTTTGAATCGCGTTAATTATAAATAGGACACGTATTGACAGTCGAAGTACTATTCAGATAAGTAACAATGGTTTTTCAAATGTAATTCGTTCAAATTCTAAAAGAAGAAAAGAGATTATATAATTCAATCCCTTTCATTTATAAAGTATATCCGCCGGCCTATCGATCAAATCGAAAATTCTAATATAAATGCTAATAAAGTCCTCTCCAAACTTATCAGTAAGTAATTCAACTGAGTAACCGCAAAATTTAAAAAAATGGGTATTATTTTCTTTAAAACGTTTAACTTATTGTTTTTATTAACAGCCCTTTTACGTTTGGTAATATGAGACTGTTTCCAAATGTATTGTTTTCAATCAATTTTAATTCTTTTATTCACCCGACTAAAAGAAGTCAATTTTATTATTTTACACCTCCAGGGATGAGTTAACAAACGAAAATAAATAAGAGTTCACGTCAAGAGTTTAAGTCTCTCATACATCAAAGTTTAAGAAAACAAATAGTAAAACTTTATTTGTACGTTGGAATGTAACATTCATTCCTTCAAATTAAGCTTTTTAAATTCGAGATAACTTCCTTTAAAATTCAAATTGATTCTTTCTGAATTTTTTTAACGAGGGTTCGCAACAGCAGAGGTCATATAAACCCTCAGGGTGCCGGTTTTTTTTTTTTTTTTTTTTTTTTGCCTTATGATCTTGCACATTAGCCATGGTACGAATTCTTGTGTGTTCAAATTGGGGGTTATCGGGAAAAAAGGGCCAGAGGCGACGGTGGGAATCGAACCCACGACCGCGGCGTGCCGGTGTTTTTGAAAAAAAGCCAATCTGTAAGTAAGTCGGGTTCGAATGCAGGGCCGCTGGATCCGAACCCGGGACCTTTACCTTGCAGTGATGAGCGCCGTGTCAACGCCTAAACCGTTGCGGCCACCGACGCCCCTAATTCTTTCTTTAAATTAATAAAAAAACTTAAGAGATGGAATAAAATATAAGCATATAAATTAAAATTCTTACATATTTCTAAATTCCTGTCTACCTCTTAATTTTCATATTGTATTTTAGATAAGAACCCATTTTATATTTTTTAAATACTAAAAATTAAAAGGACAATCAATTATTTTTATACTTAAATTTATATGATTTTTTATTTTAATTGTAATTTATATGTTCGGTGTTTAATGACTGTTAGTTAATGATTATTTGGAGATCGTGAGATGCGTTCTGGTGTGACGTAGTTTTTAGAAAAACATTTTCTTTGTCGTGACAATGTTTTGATCTTTACGGAGATCATCTTCAGCGCCTGGGATATATAAACATTGTTTAAATTATACAAATACATGTAGGATATGAAAAAATACTTTGATTGAATCGAATCTAAAATTTTCTACCATTGTATAAATTCATTTTTTTCACATCCTACATGTATTTGTATAATTTAAACAATGTTTATAAATCCCAGGCACTGAGGATGATATCAATAAAGATCGAAACGTTGGCACGATAAAGAAACGTTTTTCCAAAACCTACGTCACACCAGACGGCATCTCCGAATAATAATTTGTAATTTATATTTTAAAAGATTTCGAAATCATAGCAGAAATATTTTTTTTTATTAATTATTTATAATGTTAATTAATATTTTTATGCATTATAATTTTTAATGATATAATTGTAATTGATTTTATTTAAGAGCTTTTAATGGACCAGTTATTTTATATTAAAAAATTTAGCAAATATACAGGAATTTAATATTATATGCTTATTTTTCATACTATCTCCTAAGTTTTTTTTATTGCTTTAACTCGAGGGCTAATATTAAATTTAAAAGGACACAATTCAAATTACAAAAGGTTCATTTGACGACATGAAGCTATTTTACTTTGACTAAACTTAGATTGAAAACCTCGATGTTGTTTAATTTAAGTTAACAAAAAAGTTAATTTGTGGAAAAAAGCTTTATTTCAATCGTACAAATTCACGTTTACTTAGCTTAAATGGATGAACCTTTTAAACCCTCTATGTCGGTTAATTTTAAGTAAAAAAGTTCATTTCAAATTAACATTGAATAATTTGAAATTAAAAAGTGTTAATTTAAAATCAATAATAGTTAATTTGAAATTATTAAGGATTACATTGAAATTTAAAAGTGTTAATATAAAGTTAAAAAGGGGTTATGTGAAGTTAAAGAAGGTTAATTTGAGTTTAACAGGGGTTAAGTTGAAGTCAAAAATATTCCTTGGAAGTTAAAAAAAAATTACTTTGAAGGAAAAAAATATAATACAAACGTACAAATTTACTTTTAATAAACTTAGATGGATGAGCCCTTTTAACCTCAATGTTGGTTAATTTGAAGTTAAATCGGGTTAATCTAAAATTCAGCACTTAATTTGCAAGTAACAGAGGTTCCTTTTAAGTACGAAAGTGTTAATTTGAAATAAACAAAGGTTTATTTTAAACAAGAGTTATTTTGAAGTAAAACGTGGTTAATTTGTCGGAATAAAGTTATAGTTCGTGTTCAATTCGAGGTGTTTTCATTTGGAGGTTTTTTTAAGTATTTAGGTGAAAGGGTTTTAACACTTTCGTAGCATTTCACTTCCAATCTCTAATCCTTACCCCATTCTTTCGTTTTTGTCAAGAACGTTAAGATCTTGGTCTAAAAATCTTCATCGAAATACAGACTGCTATTGACCAACGTACATCCATCACTTCAGGAGTCCCTCAAGGCTCATGCAACTCTACTTTGTTTTCTGTTGTTACATTTGTTCTCTAAATCCATATAATATTGCTGCCATCACCTTTATACTGAAGACTCCCAAATTACCTTTCTTTCCTACCTTCTGACTTACAAGCTTCAATTATAAGAATTCAGGAGTTAAACTCAATTAGCTCCCCGGTTCCCGAAAATTGAAAAATACTTGTAGAGAGGTCCCTGGCTGTTGTATGTGGATTCAGTTCTCTCCTACATTCCTTACATCCTAGCCCTCCGTGTTCTATTAGCAATAACTCTATTTCATTCTGTCGCACCGTCAAGAACCTTTGGTTTGTCCTTGATCTGATCTCGACCAAGAAGCCCCTAATTTTCTTTTTTATTCTCCCTCATTTCGATTACGAATTTTTTGTGTACCTAGACCAGGAGGTGGATAGGTCATGACTTCTATCGCCTTGTGGGTTTATAGGACTGATGATGTGTTTGGGGTGGTCAACTAGGGTGAGATAAGAGTATATTGTGGAAAGTGGAAAATATTTTGGCGATTATTTTTTCAATGAAAGGGATTTTGAGGTTACTATCAAGCAAAAATTTGAGTAGGACATTCAAGACAGTTCTAGCTGTATCGCCAAATTAATTTTATTAATTTTCTAGTAGATTTTCAGTTTCTTTTTGTCGACGTTAGATTTAGGTATCAGTAGTTTGTCCAAAGCTCTGTTTAACTCATGTCATTTAAGTCGTGTGTGTTTGTTCGAGGATTGTCTTGAGTCCAAATAGAACCCAAGGAGAACGCAGTCTGTTCTAAGGAGTGGAGAATATTATTTTTGCTTCTACTTGTTTCTATTCGCCAATGGTTAATCTCCTCTAAAATGATTGACAAATCATGATCAGAGCTATCGTCGGCAAAGGACGCTAAGAGAGTGGACGGTGAGTCGGGATATCTGTGGTGTAGAGGAGGCAAATGATTGGTCCTAGTACGCTGCCCGTCTGGCACTCCCACTCCCAGAGAGCAATAGTCCAGGTCAACCCCAACTTAGTTCGCTAAGTAACTGAAGCCCTGAAAGTCGAAAATGGAGTTTCGGTCGTTCTTGACTTTTATAGAGAGATGTTGAAGGGCTCTTTATCATCCTCACTGCGAAAATGCATAAAACAATTCTTTGACAAAACACACCTCTCCCTAAAAAAAAATAAGTTGTAACTGTTTTCTTTTTCAGATTTTAACCCAGCAATTGATGGCAAGTACATATATTTTTCCTGTGACTAAACAAATTGACGTATTAATTGTAATAGAATTGATTTTTAATTTAATGGTTGATTTGGAGATATTTAAAATCGAATGGGAAAACTAATTTTAATTTTTATCTTAGTCAATGAAACGCCAGACCTCGGTTATTAAGCACTTGTGTTGTAAAACTTAATTTATTAAAATCTGAATCGCCATTATACAGAGTGATTCGTACGACAAAGTTCGTCAGGTACTTTCACACCTTCAATTGGAAGAAAAAAAAGTTCGCACCATGGCCCAATTCTCAACAATAGCGCAGATAACAACATTTTGTGTTTTTTCAACTATCGACGGTTTTTTCATAAATCTAATCATAGTTCTTGAACTGTGCATTTTTGGAGAAACAAGAAAAGCATTAAATTTGCTTTAAGATGTCGCCCTTCTAGAACTTAATCTAATTTTAGTAAAAAACACTATATCTCTCAAAAAGTGCAAATTTTAAAATTTATAAAAATCAATAAATTTGTAACCTCATTTTTACAATTCACCGTAGGACTTGGCAAATTTCATAACTACCTCATCGCTTGATAAGCTTTCCAGCGGTATACCCTTTTCTTTAATTACATCGTTTCAAAATGTAAAAATTTATTTTTTTATTTTTATTTTTTCCGTTCCTGTAAATTTTTTTTAAATGTGAAAAAAGTGGTGTCGGTGTGAAAAAAGTGCAAATATTTTGTCCAATTTTTCTGATTTTGTTGTTCCTATGTTTAATGTCTCTTTTTTACGTGTTTTGTCGCATTTTTCTTTCTTTTTGTGCATTTCGTTCAATTAAAGTTGGGAAATAAATTTTGCCCAGGACAAAAAGTTGAATTACTACATTAACCCCACCTCCTTTTTCACACCGACACCACTATTCACTTGCAACCGTTTTTTCCAATAAGATAGTAAATTTAGTTTTTTTTACAAGATTTATATTTAGCTGTTTTTAAAAATTTTAGTTTTTTTTACCAAAAATTAAATTGATAGTTCTAGAAAAGTGCCTTCTTAAGGGAAATTTAACGCTTTTTTCAATACTTTTTTTAGATTTCCCTACAAACGAAGAGTTCAGTTCAAGATTGATGACATAAATCGCGAAAAAGAAGATGGAAACAAGAAAATTGAATCAATAAATTAATTGACATGTTGAATAACATGACCTTAGATGTTTGAAAATTATTTCTATTTCAAAAGATTTATACTAAAATTTTGCAAATTTAACGGCCTAAACATAATTTATAACTAATTGTGACATTTCTTTAACGAGCTTGTTGAGTGAAGATTCTACCAAACAGCTTGAACGAAATTTTGCTAAAGAAAGATAACAATAAATACCTAGCTGGAATGCCGGGTTTTACATCCGGTTTACATGAAGTAAACATCATCCATTTTATCGTCAATTGATTATATGAGTAAACTTATGGATATCCGTGTTTTTTAAGTCTTTGGATCGTTAATCTGAAAAAAGAAAATAGAGGGAAATGCCATGTTCCCAAGCCAGGGCCATTCATTACCCACTCTTAAGTGGGTTCTACGGAGTTTTTTCCTTTTTACTCTCGTCCAGCTATAATAATTTAATTTACAACTAAGAAACAAATAAATTTCCTATTCGGGAAATGTTCAATGTATCAAATAACGCAGTATTATATTACGATCAAATGGCAGTTACAAATAAATTTGTATAAATTATTTTCACATCAAAGGCAATTGGTCATTAATAACATATGAACAACATAGGCTTGACTCAAGTTTAGATGGAGTTCACCCATAATGATGATGAAGAGACTACGATGCTGGTACTTTTTTTCTAGCACTGTAACCTTTTTTGCTTGTATTTTTACTAGTCCCTTATAATTTGTTAAGTTTATTGAAATTCTAATTCTTTATTGTTCTTGTTTATGTCTTATTGATGCCCCAAACGGGATTAGTTTTTGTTTTTCCCGAGACTTCCTATTAGCCAAGTTGGCTGTTACATGAAATTCCGTCATGACCTGAGACATATCTGAGCGTTAGGCTATTTTCAAAATTTCACGCTGTTCCAGACTAGTTTTGAATTGATCTCGTAGTCTCGAAGAGCTTTGAGAGCTGCCATGTTATATTATAGTTCTATACATTTTTATACCCTGCAGATGTTTTTACTGATGTCATGTTCACATGTTCCTATTGCTAGTATTGGGTTGTCCGGAAAATAATGCAGGATTTTGGTATTAAACAAAAAAAAAGAAACTAGTTACTTTAAAGCAATGTTCTTTAATCAAAATAATTTCCCATACTCTCAATACATTTCTCCCAACGTGTTGGTAACTTATTAATTCCGTCTGAGTAGAATTCAGAATTTTTAGAATTGATAAAGTCAATAAATGCATTTTCCAGTTCCGTTTGATTTTTGAATATTATGTGTTGTAAGTAGTGGTCCAGGTGTCTAAAAAATGGTAGTCAGTAGGCGAGAGGTCCGGAGAGTAGGGTGGGTGAGGCAAAGTTTCATAGCCAAGCTCCAATAATTTTTGTGACGTTACACGTGACACATGTGGTCGAGCGTTGTCATGCAACAAAATGGGCCCTTTCCGATTGACCAAAGAGGGCTTCATTACTGCCAATTTCTGATGCATGGTATTAATTTGGTTACAGTATGATTCAGCATTGATGGTTTCGCCAGGATTTAAGAAGCTGTAGTGTATTAAACCAAATGAAGCCCACCATACCGTAACCATTACCTTTTTTTGATGAGTTGGGGGCTTTGGAGAATGTATTGGAGCTTCTCCTTTGTCGAGCCACTGTCCAGAACGTCTAGTGTTATCGTAGAGAATCCACTTTTCGTCACATGTAACAATTCTGGCCAGAAATGGGTCATTTTTGTTTCGACAAAGAAGTGATGCACAAACATCAAAGCGCTGATTTTTTTGGCGATCGTTTAATGAGTGTGGAACCCAATTTTCGAGTTTTTTCACTTTTCCAATCGCCTTGAGGTGGTCAGCGACGGTCGTTTTACTGACTTTGAGTTGCTCTGCAAGTTCTCGAACAGTTGTTTTGGGGTTTTCTTCCACCACTGATCGCAGAACATCATCATTAAGAGAGGAAGGCCTTCCACGACCTTCTTCATCTTCAAGGCTGAAATCTCCCTCCCGAAATTTTTTAAACCACCTTTGCACAGTGCACTCATTAACACAACCCTCGCCCCAGACTTGGTTAATGTTTCTAGCCGTTTGGGCTCCGCTTCGGCCGAGTTTAAACTCGTAAAAGAAAATCGTACGAAATTCTCGCTTTGACATTATAAGGATGACTGAATTATTTCCAAGTAGCGGAATGCTACAGAGGTAAACAAACAATATCATTTGGAAGAGGATTAATAAGTGTTGACATTCATACAAATGAGTAATCCTGTAAACGTAAACAGAATATTTTATATAGATTTTTTTTAATGAAAACTTAAAATCCTGCATTATTTTCCGGACAACCCAATAATTGTAAGGTGATTGTAATGGAGCATAGGTCATAGTTCTGCTCTTTCATGGCCATTCTCGTACCATTTCCTCCATTGTGCTCTCTCTAAGGTGTTAGTCTAGTATTTTCTCTGCAATGCGGTTTTGCCCATTTCGAAATTTCAGGGTGTACGATGCATTTGCCCACATTAGGTAACTACTTTCTTTCCACTGTCCGATTTTCAGTTCCTAGTTTCTTAGTTCACTTCAATTGATTCGATCCTTCTTTTGAGAAGTAGTAGGTTATTGATTGTTCTTTTTGGACTTATGTTTTCCGGGTCTTCTTGTTAATCTAGTTGTCTTCGTTGAGTTGTTGGTTCCCATTCGAAGGGGCAGTTTCTTCCTTTTCGTTCCATAACCTACAAACTGACCGTTTTCTCAGATGCCAGTAACTCATATACAGTCTTATCATAGTCAATTAGATCAATTGACCCGATTGTGTTTGTTAAGTTGAACATTATTGACTGTTATTAGCTACAATTCTTTTTGCAGAGGTCTCTTGGCCCTCTAGTTTAAATCACCATCAAGCGGTTGCTTCACGTTCGAAGATAATTTGGATGGCAGTCACTTCCTCCTCATTGCATAACTTAATAATGAGGTCATCGTTGAATACACACATTAGAGCCCTATCATTTTAGTGTTTTACCCGTTTTAGCAGTAGTAACGTGTGTGCTTGTTTTGACGTGGATTGTTTAACCTCTTGTGATTTTTATTTTTATTTTGTTCCAAGCTGTGTGTACGATGAAAACCTCTTAAAGGAGGTTCTTTACCCATAAGTTTAGTCTGTTTTAAGCACCTCTAGAATTTGTGTTTCTTTTTGCTTTATGTGGATCCATTCTAAGACAGAGGGTGGCCGCTAATACTTTTAGGTATTGTCTGTCTGATCTTATCAGGATATTTTAGCCAATGTAACCTCTTTTAAGAATTTATATCCCAAGAATGTATGTATTTCAGCTTGGAAGACAGAAAATACCTTCCTGGTTTTGGGGCCTTCTGTAAACCATAAGTCTTTTATTTTCTGATTTGCAGTCAGTTAAAACATTGAGGTTGTTGCAAAGGATGTCTCAGAGGTCATAAAGATAGCACCGATTTTTGGGTGTTTGATTGCATTTAGCATTGTTTTATGCTCAAAATCTTCAGTCTGCGTTCAGATTATTGTTTCTGGAGTCAGTGTGATCTAGAGTTTGTGCTTCTCTTGCGTTATGTAGACCCAATCTGAGGTAAAGGTTAGAATTTAGATTCATTAATTTCGTGGTCCGCTTGACAAAAAGGAGGGAAAATTCCAAAGGTGCAATTGAGATGGGAAGTTGGTGTCCGAGTGGATCGAGGTCACGATAGCTCAAGTGGTAGAGCAGCGGCGTATCAAGCCGAAGATAGTGGGTTCGAATCCCGCTCGTGCCATTGACTTTTTTATCTCAACTAAAAAAACCTTAATTAATTGTTAGAATTTAGTTTCTGGGCAAATAATCCTTTTGACCTTTCTCTCGCTAGTTTG